GAGCGGCGAGGGGCTGTCCCGCGGGGACGGTGGGCTGACCCCCCCGGCCTCCTGGGCGCTCCCGGGACGAAACCGGGCACAGCCGGGTCTGTTTGTTTGGTTTTTTTTCCTTTGGTCAGAGTCCACAGTGCGAGGAAAATGTGAAGACGGTCCAGTCCGGGAGAGAAGAAGAGCAGGAGCTCCAGCCAAAGCCAGACGAGGCTTCTGGAAGCACGGCTAGCACAGGGAGAGGCAACGACTGCAACCTGGCTGTCCCATCCTCTCCTGGTGCTGGTGCCGGTGCCGACACAGAGAGGACAGGCTGGGAGGACTCTGATGTTTTGAAATACGTCAGGGAGATTTTTTTCAGCTAGCATTGCCTCCTGTGAAGCTTCCCAGGAGCAAAGGGGACCGTGGGGAGGGTGTCCTCTCCCACAGCACTGGGGATGGTGGGAGGATGGCCTGGAGTGGGCTGTCTCCTGTGTTGGTGTGCTGTGGAGTTAGTAGGAGACACATGAAGGCCATGAGGGAGAGGGAAAGGGACGGGGGGGGGCACTCCTCCCAGCATGTGCTGGGTTCAGTGGGATTTGGCTCCAGATTGGGTTGTGTACATTTCTGTTTGGGATCTCAGAGCATGGACAGATTAAAGAGGACATTTGGGTACCTATGAGTCTCCTTTTGGTGGGCCAGTGTTGGGACTGGAGGGGAGCAGGGAGTTGCTGGCCATGAAAGGCCTTTGCCTGCTCTGTAGAGCCAGATATTCGTCGTTCAGTCTTGGGGCTTCCTTGTTCCTGCAATCCCTCTGTGGCAGCTGCAGTGGGATGTGTCAGTCTGTCCCTATTGGGCCTGGCACTGAATTTGCATCCATGCTGGGGCAGATCTCCCACAGCTGAGGAAGACATGGGTGGGAGAAGACTGGCAGGGGTAGGGACCATCCTGAGAGGGCTTGCCCTGTGATAGTGTGCACAGGGGTCTAGGAAGGAGTGAGCATCCTCTTTCTTGTCCAAAGGGGGAATCAACAAATGACATGAGGCCAGAGCAGGTGTGAGAACCTTTACTGAAATGAAGAATCAGTTAAACCAGCATCAGAAAGCAGATTCTTACGTGCCCAAAGGGGATGGGGGGGAGGGAAGCAGGTCCTTCCCTGTGCGATGTTACAGACACAGCATGGAGTGGTGCTGTGCACCACCGGGGTGGAGACCTCTTCTACAATGGCCCAGCTGGGGCACTGCATCCTGGCCCCTGGTAGCCCTGGCTCTGCTCCCTGGGCACAGCTTTGCATGGGACACAGGTTGGGCTGAGCTGGTGCTGCAGTGAGCTGCCTTCGCACAGGAGCAGTCTCTCCTGAAATCTCAAAGGCTGCTGAAGTGCTGGGCTCAACCCTGTAATATCAATGGGGAGAAACCTGGGGCTCTGCACCTAAACTCTCTGCTTTCTTGTGGAAATTCTCACTAGGGCTGTGCTCAGCAAGGTGTTGGGCTGCCCCTCTAAGTGCTCTCTTGCTTCTGGGGTTAGATGTGAGCCACTTCACCTTAATGAACTACAGCAGAGTCACTCCAGATGCTGTTCCAGCAGGTGAAGTACAGGTACTGCTGCTGAGGAGAGTATTTCCAGTGCATCTTTGGTGCTGCCACTTCTGTGATGGCTTTGTGAAGCCACAGCTCCTCAAGTCACAATTGCCCTCCCTCTGTGGCAGCTGCAGTGGGATGTGTCAGTCTGTCCCTATTGGGCCTGGCACTGAATTTGCATCCATGCTGGGGCAGATCTCCCACAGCTGAGGAAGACATGGGTGGGAGAAGACTGGCAGGGGTAGGGACCATCCTGAGAGGGCTTGCCCTGTGATAGTGTGCACAGGGGTCTAGGAAGGAGTGAGCATCCTCTTTCTTGTCCAAAGGGGGAATCAACAAATGACATGAGGCCAGAGCAGGTGTGAGAACCTTTACTGAAATGAAGAATCAGTTAAACCAGCATCAGAAAGCAGATTCTTACGTGCCCAAAGGGGATGGGGGGGAGGGAAGCAGGTCCTTCCCTGTGCGATGTTACAGACACAGCATGGAGTGGTGCTGTGCACCACCGGGGTGGAGACCTCTTCTACAATGGCCCAGCTGGGGCACTGCATCCTGGCCCCTGGTAGCCCTGGCTCTGCTCCCTGGGCACAGCTTTGCATGGGACACAGGTTGGGCTGAGCTGGTGCTGCAGTGAGCTGCCTTCGCACAGGAGCAGTCTCTCCTGAAATCTCAAAGGCTGCTGAAGTGCTGGGCTCAACCCTGTAATATCAATGGGGAGAAACCTGGGGCTCTGCACCTAAACTCTCTGCTTTCTTGTGGAAATTCTCACTAGGGCTGTGCTCAGCAAGGTGTTGGGCTGCCCCTCTAAGTGCTCTCTTGCTTCTGGGGTTCGATGTGAGCCACTTCACCTTAATGAACTACAGCAGAGTCACTCCAGATGCTGTTCCAGCAGGTGAAGTACAGGTACTGCTGCTGAGGAGAGTATTTCCAGTGCATCTTTGGTGCTGCCACTTCTGTGATGGCTTTGTGAAGCCACAGCTCCTCAAGTCACAATTGCCTCAAACGCATCTCCAGTTAGTTGAGGAGGTGGAGAAGAAGCAGAGACACTGAGCAACTCCAGGAAAAGAAGCTTGTTTGCTTCTCTACAGTTTGGCTAGACATGGCCAGTGGGATGTGTCCACTGTGTGCTTGTTCTGATCTGTCCCCTTCACTGTCCTCTGGGTCAGGACCAGAAATGCTGTTCCTTTGATGCTGTGCCCCAGGCTGAGGGCTGCTGTTCCTGAGATGCTCCTGCTGCCCACTGGCTGCTGGAGCACTGCCAGCCAGCAGTGGTGGTCACAGCCATGTGCCAGAGCATGGCTGGACAAGGGCCCTTGGACCAAGTATCAAATTCCTGCCGGTGAATAAAGCTGTAGTGGGATTACTATTTCAAATCAAGTTATCAATAACGTTTGCACCTTCTTCTCTGTCAAATCTCAATGGCCAGGGCCTTCTTAGTCATCATGCTTTGACATGAGCCTGTCCTGGCTGAGGTACATAGTGGCAGTAAAAATCTGGAGCAGTAGTAGAATCAGAGTCCCAAGCAGTGCCAGGAAGCCCCCAGTGAAGTCAGAGAGTTGAATCCACTGTGAAGTTTGGAAAAGAAATATAATCAGGCCTCCAGACAGCAGCATCATCTTGATTTGGGGTATGATGAGGAACCCCCTCCTGCCCTCTCTCTCATCTGTGCACTTCACACATGCAACAAACATGGCGTAGAAGATACTGATGACCAGACAGGGATACACAAAAAGTACTGCCAGGATCATTCCTGAGCTAACACCCATCATCTGCAAGTGCTCGTGGTCCAGGCACTGCAGCTCCCCAGCTGTCTTATTCCACAGGCAGAAGTTGTAAAAGCCGATGCGTTTGTGAGGAAGGTTGACCAAGTTCCCAGCTTCCCACATCAGTGCGTAGAACATCAAGGCTGAGGCTCCAACAGCCTCAAGGAAGACCAGCACACAGAGCTGGTGCCCAGTGCACCTCAGTTGCAGCAGAGCCATCCTGGTGCCCACATGCTCTTTTTACCTGCTGTAAAGCATAAAGAAGGGGACACCTTGGTTGGGGCATGTTATGGTTTATGGCACCCTTCACAAGATGTGCTCTGAGCCTATGTCACTGAGTTCTTGGGACTCCCCTTGCAAGTAAAGCAGGAGCACTTCAGTCCTGTCTCTGACAGTGCTTCACATGTGGTACTGGGTTGAGGGGGGTGCATTTTTGGTCACAGCAAAGATGGGTTAATGATGCCTTATGTGTGGACAAGCACTGGAAGGATAGTATGGCTCCTGTAGCCCCCACACATACCCTTTTCAGCACTGTCTCACGTTGGACAAGAGGCATTTGTCAGAAAACTGCAGTGATAGGAGGGGAGCAAAACACCGTCTGGTAAGGAGGGAGTTAAGAGCTATTCTGGGAAAATGCTTTTCTTTCAGTTCTGGTCAGACAAGGCCATTACTTGTGGTCTTTGGACGACTGAGTAAAATGCAGGCATGACAGAATCTGAAGTGCAGGGCTCCCCCTGCTTCCCCTCCTGTAAAGCATAAAGAAGGGGACACCTTGGTTGGGGCATGTTATGGTTTATGGCACCCTTCACAAGATGTGCTCTGAGCCTATGTCACTGAGTTCTTGGGACTCCCCTTGCAAGTAAAGCAGGAGCACTTCAGTCCTGTCTCTGACAGTGCTTCACATGTGGTACTGGGTTGAGGGGGGTGCATTTTTGGTCACAGCAAAGATGGGTTAATGATGCCTTATGTGTGGACAAGCACTGGAAGGATAGTATGGCTCCTGTAGCCCCCACACATACCCTTTTCAGCACTGTCTCACGTTGGACAAGAGGCATTTGTCAGAAAACTGCAGTGATAGGAGGGGAGCAAAACACTGTCTGGTAAGGAGGGAGTTAAGAGCTATTCTGGGAAAATGCTTTTCTTTCAGTTCTGGTCAGACAAGGCCATTACTTGTGATCTTTGGACGACTGAGTAAAATGCAGGCATGACAGAATCTGAAGTGCAGGGCTCCCCCTGCTTCCCCTCCCCCCCCCCTTAACTCTGGGACACCCAGTGCCATCGATGCCGCTCATTTCCAGCATCCACATGCCCCATGTACATTTCTGGGTACAGCAAGGCAGATAGCCCCACCAAGGCTGGCAGATGTGCTGGTCCTCTCTGCTGGTTGCCATGCGGACAGTCAGTTGTCCACCATAAAGAGGCACTCCAGAGACCCACCTGCAGCCACTCACCCTCCTGGGGCACAGGGAGAGGGGCGCTATGGAGACAGACCTGTGACTGCTGTCCTCCTTCCTCTGCTCTCAGACTTCCTGGCAAAGTGGACTCTCTCCCCTAGAAATGTGAGCTGTCCTCAGTGCCTTCTTGCAGGCTTCTGCTTTGTGCTGAAAAACAGGGAAGTGGCATCAGAAAGGAGTATCGCTGGCTGCAGAGCCACGTGGAGTCACAGCACTGGCCACTCAAGCAAAGAGCTCAGAGACCTTGGCTTCAAGCTCAGCCTTCTGCCTGAGGCTCTGCAAATAACCCCTTACCTGCCTTTGCCAAACATTATCTCCTGTGAATCATTTACCACCTTCCCTCAAGAAGTTCACACCAGTCCTGCTGTCTCCCTTCCAATGCCCATTGCCCAGTGATAGATCATTCTGATGTCCTGGATGTCACAGGCTACCACCCACAGCTGCTTGTGGATTTGGTAGAGCCTCTGAGTTTTTAGAGGTCAAGGAAAGGCACTGCTCACATCTGTACCTGTTGTCTGGCTGTAGTCCTTATGACCAGAGATGCTTCAGCATTCCCTTCCCACCCCTTGTCTCCCTGGATACTTGGGAGTGGGGCTGCTGACCAACTCACCAGGGATTTCTGTCAGAACTCCATGCTGGGCCTGTTATAACCCAGCCAGCTCCCAGCCGTGCCCACCCAACAACCCTTGCTGTCATATTTCTTTAGACTCGTTTCCTAAGGAAGGTGGGCTTAGAAAAACACAGGCTTTATGTTCAGCCTTCTCATGTTACCTTACATTTACCCCCCCCTCCATAAAATATAAAAGCAATTAAAATGTTTCCTAGTTGCATTACTAGAGAGGGAACAGATTCCTAGCAGGTTTGTGGGATTATACGTCGGGGGTGGATGAAAGCCACCTCAGAGACTGTGTGCTGCTGCGTGATCTCTGCCCGTCCGAGAGCCAGGGCAAATCCCACGGTATCTCTGCCCTCTCCTCTGCCTTGAGCCTTTGAGTCTTTAAGGACCTATCTGTGTTTTCTCAGCGTCGCACCCCCCGTTCACTCTGCTAAATTGCAGGCAAATCGGCCCCTCAGCTCCTGCTGCATCTCTAGCCCGGCCCAGCAGGTAAACACCTGTCCCCAGGTGTGCCTGTGACAGGGACAGAAGCATGCCTAGTGCGGGTGCCCCGCGCCAGTTGGAGCAGAGAGCGCATGGCTGGCCTGGAGGTGATGTGCTCTTTGGGAACACAAACCAAGACCTGGCCCCCTGCCACCAGCCCAGAGGCAGACACGGTATTTGTGAGCTCTGCAGCTCAAGCCACTAGGGCAGTTTGGAGGCAGTCCGGCTGAGAAGCAGGGGATAAACAGGAAAGAGCTGTCACCCTCTGGTGTCCTCTGGAGCTTTTCCCAGACTTCTGCAGCCCCTGTGCCTCTCAGGAGATGCCTTTGCACGGGAGAGTCTGCAGCTTTGCTTCGAAGGTGCAAAAAAGAGCAACCCGAGCACAGCACAGTGCCCCTTAGTCTGGCTTCACCCCCTTTTTTTTCTGGGCAGACATCACTGGGAGAACTGGACTACACCATGGGAAGAGCTCTGTGTCTCAGTCTCCTGGGCAGAGACTGAGCAGGCTCCATGTGCATGGCTCAGGAGCTCCCTGGGGTGTCTGTGTGTGAGATGGGGCTGTAGGGACCCTCTGTGCTGCTGAGACTTACACAGCCCTTCCCTTTGCTGGGAGCACCTTCCTAGGCTGGGGCTGTGCCTCTCACCCCAGTCAGAGGCTGGCTGAGTGCCTGGGCAGAAGCAGCAGGACAGGAGGCCAAAACACTCAGCTCTGACACAGGATCTGGTCTCTGTGCAGGGATGAACATCTCTGTGGAGCTGCTGGACTCTGAATGCAAAACGACAACAGGATTTTCTTCTGCACTGATAAGCCCCCCCCAGAAGATTTGGCCTTGCTGCATCCCCCCTCCCCAGCTGCTGCAGGGGCTGGGAGTAATGCCGTGCAAGAGTGGTGAGAAGGGGAGGCAGCTTTGGACTTGGTACGTTTCCTTCAAGCCACCTGCTTCCCTGCCAGGATCCTTCTTTCGTCCTCAGGCAGGATCAGCTGTGGGAAACAGCAGCAGCAGAAAAGCCACTAACAAACTAAGGACTGCTGGTGAACAGAAAGAAGCCAGTGGCACATGGACCAGGCTGTGGAAGAACTGCCCCAAAAGTGTCCCAAAGCTGGGGAAAGACCTGCTCCCTGCCAGATATTTGCACCCTGCAGAACCACTTCTGCCCCTGGCAGCTCCCTCCAATGCCAGTGGCATTACAAAGGTGGGGGCCCCAGTGGAGGATACTTACAGGCTGCCCATCCAGCTGGGTGCAGAGCTGAGACACGCTGGAGAGGGCTGAGGTGCTGCCCCGGTGAGCTGAGCTGCTCTGTGGCTGCTGCCAGGTCCAGCACTGGGACACCACTATTTCTAGGGCGTCACAGGCAGCTTTCTGTTTCGGTTTCGAGGGACATGGGAGCCTGTTGCAGTGCTCCTCCCTGATACTGTGTCATCCAAAAATAGCAAGAAAACAAGCTGAGCCCAGATACTGCTGCCTGTCCAAGCTAACCGAGGTGAATAACTGAGCAGGCTCAGCTCACCTGGGAAAGTGCTATTGGAGTGGCTTGGGTGCCTGTGGGGGCTGAGGTGAGTTTGGTTGGTTTGTATGCTACTGTTGAGGTGACTGACCACCCCAGTGCCAACCCCAGGGCTGCAGCATTGTCAGACTTGACTGACCACTTTGCACTTAATGTGCTTTGAATGCTGCTCCCCTCCTCCTGTTTCCCACACACAGCTTCCCCCCACCTCCCCCTTACCTGGAGGCACAGTGCATGAGAATTGGCAAAGCTGCCTGCTGTGACAGGAAGCCTGTGAAACCTCGAGTGATGTAAGGAGCAAAACTCTCCTTCCTTTTGCATGCACCTCCATCTCTCTGGCCTTCTCTGCTCTACTTAGATCAATACATACACACTCTTGGAGTGTGGCACCTCCCAGAAGAGAGCTGATTGCCTGACTGTGCACCTATGGCACAATCACTCCTCGGAGTTTCCTGAGGAGCCCTGTCTCCTTCCTTGCAGGGTTTCAGTCTCTACTGCTTGTAATGCCTCCTAGGATGTCATGGCTGCCAGCAGGGAGAGGTGCAGTCAACCTCTGTCCCAAGACTTGCTCTTGGTCCTTGTCTCAGTCCAAGTGGTGACTCAGACTTGGATGGGCCTAAGCAGTTAACCCTGTTGTATTTAGGATCTGCCCCTGATTTTGGGGATGGTGATGATGCCAATGTACGATGTACCAGAAACCCCAAATATGAGAGCATGCACACAACGAAGACTGGACACTGAAATGTGTTTGATGTGATTTAACGGCTTGAATGGAATCACAAATATGTGGGAAACAAATTTAGAATGTAGGGATACAAGCTGTGTATGCAGAACTTCCCCTAGATGATTGCTTATGTTGAGAAGAAGAGAACTTAAGATAGAAAAATGGCTTATGTAACTCATTGCAGTTCCCCTCTCAATAGGGTTGGCGTTGTGAGTGGAGGTGTTGTGAGGACTGTTTATGGTTTTATCCCGGGGAGAGCTTGCCCTTAGGGACAAAATAGAAAGCAATATTACTAGGGCTTACAAGCCTGCTTACAAGCGGGCTGCACGCGGCAGTGTCTGCAGCGGTGAGGTGGTGGGGGCAGGCTGCTGGCTGCACCTGATGGCATCCAGCTGCTCTCCTGCCCCCATGGAAGGAGAGAGCCTTTGGGGGAGA